CAGATATTAAATATATTTGTATACTTTAAATATTTGTATAGTTTTTAGGTTATTTATTGTTGTAATGCGCTTTTGATCACCTAGCATGTTAAAAAGCGCACTATAAATGAATAAATTATTATTATTATTATGTATCGGGGCACTCTTATTAGCGGTAATGTAAACATTTCGGTCTACTTTAACAAATTAGCGAATAATTTTGAACCCCTCGATAAATTTTTTAAAAAATTAAGAGTCTTGAGATAAACCGTCCTTTTATATGACCTCTTAGTTTCAAGATTATTGATATATTGTAAGGTAGTAAAATAAGGGCTACAATTCGCTAATATTTTGTCAGAAATTTTGTCTTTACAAGTGAGAGTCTCTGATTATTCAGGGGTATTGTCTCAAGGTTTCATTTTCACGTGAACAGCAGTAACTAACAATGCATTTGACATAAGCAAAAATGCTAGCTATTGATGTGCACGAAAATATGAATTTTGGAGACAATACCCCGGAATAATGAGAGTAAACACAAAACTCTTGACAAAATATTAGCGAATTCAAGCCCTTATTTTACTACCTTACAATACATCAATAATATTGAAACTAAGAGGTGATATAAAAGGACGGTTAATCTCAAGATACTTAAATTTTCTAAAAAATTTATCGAGCGGTTTATAAAGTATACGCTAATTTGTTAAAGTAGACCGAAATGTTTACATTCCTGCTAAAAAGAGCGCCTTGATACATACTAATCAAATCCTTCTTTCTAGCAATCGGCTGGAGGTATCTCCATGACCTTTCACACACGTTTTCAAAAAGATTGAAACTACTATGAGGTGAAATTGCATGTCAAAAGCGCTTCGTTTAGTATAGATAACAGTCGAACATCAAGATTGTCCATTTTTTCCGTATTTCTAACCATAAGAACTTCTTCCCAAAATATCTCGATAACGCTCTTACAGATTTCGCTTAAACTTCACGAACATCGAGGCGGCTATTGTAGGAAAAAGCTCCAGTAAACGATTTTGGAGAACAGTTCCCAGTGCCGAGAAATACTGCTGCAAGTAAAATAATAGGTAATGTTGTCATTTCGTTGCCATAACAACTCCGATGTCATTGCAACCCTGATCATAACAAATTTTCATCTTTATCTAATACAACTGTGGTGTCAATTTTTCCAAATCTTTGCTTATGGCGACGAACAGGGGGTCTTTTTTGCATGAGCATGCGCACTAAGACTTGATAAAAAGCACGCGACCGGTCACGGCTACGTGGTGCATATTGTCATTAAGTAAGTAAGTAAATAAGTAATTTTATTTAACCACATATCGCATATGAGCGATAGCTCGTTTAAATGCAAATGTGCCATAAAAATTACAACGTGATAATTTACATAATCTACATGTACAAGTAATGAATAAAAATAAGAAATAGAAAAATTAAACCAACTAAAAGATAATAATAATTTAAAAAGAAAAAATATTGGTAATCAGATTGTCTATTTACAAAATTCACAGTTGCAGTCATACGATGAAGACAACTGTATGTTTTGTAAGTTTTTCCTAAAGATAGAGAGGGACTCCGACATCCTTATTTTGTCTGGTAGACTGTTCCATTGTTTGTCAGCCTGGTACGTGAAAGAATGTTGCATATAAGATAAGGTCGGTCTTGGAAGAACAACCTTAAGATGGCCCCGTAGGCTGTAACCATTGCTTCGCAGTAAAAACATTTCCCGAATGTAGTTCGGTGCCTGGTTATAAATGCTATTGTATACAAGTATCAGTGCTTGTTCTATGCGTCGATGTTCCAAGCTTTTGATATGTACAGTTTTAAGTAGCTCTTCATAAGCAGTCGACTTGGAGTAGTTAAGAAGAGTCCTAAGAGCAAATGCATTGGTTGACTCTAGTTTTGCAGACAAACCTTTACTTAGACCTATGAACAATGGTGATGCGTATTCAAAGTGAGGCAGAATATATGCTTTGTACAGTTTAATCATAATATCTGAGGGTACAAGTTTACGAATGCGACGAAGAATTGAAACTTTTGTGTTCACTTTCCGGCAAATTTCTTTAATATGTGCTTTAAAAGAGAGTGAATTGTCGATAATTACACCAAGGAGCTTGATCTGTGGAACGTAATCCAGTTCATTGCTGTCAATAACAAAGGGCGTTGGTAGAGTTGCTCTATTGAAGACGATGGATTGAGATTTACTATGGTTGATCGCCAGGAAGTTCTTACAAAACCAGGAAACGAGTAGACCAAGGTTGTTTTGTAGATTTATTTGCAAGGTGGATGGACTATGCCGTAGTGTCATCGGCATAGAATCTTAAGGAGCACGAAATATCTGTAAAATTCGCATCATTCATGTATATATTGAAGAGATGGGGGCCCAAGATTGAACCCTGAGGAACTCCACACTTCATAATTTGCCAATCTGACAGGTTACCGTCTATCTTGACATGTTGCTTTCGGTCAGTCAAGTAAGAACGTAGAAGTTGTAGGGCGTCTTCAGTTACACCGTACGCTGACAGCTTTGCAAGAAGCAAATTATGGTTAATAGAGTCAAATGCTTTGGAGAGGTCTATGGTAATTGCTGCTGAGTGCTCGCTAGAGTCTAAATTTGCTCTAATGTCTTCGCATGTTTTGAGGAGGGCTGTTGTACATGAATGTCCTTTCAGAAAACCAGATAAATTTCCGCTGAGGAAGTGAAGGGAAAACTCGTATAGCTGATCAAAGATAACTCTTTCGGCTATTTTTGAAACAGCCGATAACACAGATACAGGACGGTAATTAGACTTCATAGTCTCGCTATCTTTTTTATAGATCGGAGAAATAATGGAAGTTTTCCAATTTGTAGGCCAGGAACTACCAGTGATGCATCGATTAATAAATTTTGTGAGAGAACTGAGAATTCCTGGTTCAGCAAGTTTCAATAGGCGTGGAGAGATTCCGTCAGCACCGGTGGCTTTATTAATTTTGATACTAGAAAGTATCCTCTTGATGTAGGAATCCCGAAGAGGAGTAAATGAGAAGCTCATTTGTCCTTTAAATTTCTGTTCAATGGCTATAACACTGGAATGGGTCTTAAACTCTTCTGGCTGTAAGTTAGACATGTGGGTAGGCCTGGGTACTGCATGAATGAAATAATCGTTTAGAAGATTGGCGACATCAATACTGTCAGTAATGAGGCGCCCATCTTCAATCAGTTGAATATGGCTGTTACCTCTGTCCTTGCTTGGAAGCAAACAATGAAATTTCTTCCAAAATTTCCCAGGGTGTTCGGAGTTTGTGGATACATTAATGCAGTATGACTTGAGGGAAGAGCGTTTTAAAGAAGTGACAAAGTTCCGTTGTTTCCTATAGGCCTCCCAATTTTCAGACGTTTTGTTCTTAGTAAACTTTCTGTGTAGACGATTTCTAGTGTTTATAGCCTGAATAATTTTTGGTGTCATCCATGACAGAGTGTTACCGCGTACCAGTTTCCTCTTAAGCGGTGCGTGACGATCAATTACTTCAGTGAATAATTTATACCAGTGCGCCCAGATGTCGTCGATATCATCGTAAATGAAGGCAGAGTCCTAGGGGACACTGTTTAGGTCCTGAAGAAAAATATCAGCGTCAAACCGTTTCATTGAGCGATAACCGATGAGCTTTGGTGGAGATTTAGGTAGCTTCCACTTGCGAATTGTAACAACCATATTGTGATCACTGATACCGAGTTGTAAAGTCTTAGTATAGCAGAATCTTTGCGGATGAGTTGTTAGAATAACATCAAGAAGAGTGCTCGATGTATCTGTTGTTCTGGTTGGCCCAGTTACAGTGTTTGTTAATTGAAAGCGGTCACAGTATTCAGGTAGTCGGGTATATTGGAACCAAAATCTTCACTTTGAAAGCTTGCTTGAGATTCGAATGGTAGCAGGAACTTAGGAAAGACCTTCGTTGTACAAAATAAGTAAAGATCTGGTGATTTTAGGTGATTTTAAGTGGAAAATGATGCGCTGAACGAGGTGAAAGAGCAAGTTTCTCAAGGATGTCTGACACGAACATGGCTGCTTGTTGTTGTTGGTCGCTCGAATCGTCTCTTGATTCCCCTTCAAGAACCGCAAAGTTTGTCATGGAATGCATCGCTGATAGGTAGGTATTGAGCAAAATGTTCTTTATTTAGTGTTTGTCTTTAAATCGGATGTAAATTAGTTTCTCCATGCCGTAGAGGACTTCTGTCAATAATTTGTGAACAGCTGATTTAGCCATATTTCGGGAGTGGATTCATAACGATCAGCGGGCGACTACCACGCTGTTATCAGTTGGAATAGAAAGGTGGTCCCTTAAGTATTTTAGCGATACAAAGTTTGTTTATCGGAAAATTGTGGAAGTTCTTGTTTTTCTGTGGGCTAACATTGTATCGTATCTTTTACAGGAATTTTCTTTTAGCCAGAACTTTAGTGCTCTAATAATTTTTAACTTTTGGTCGGCATCACATGTTTACTGTACCTCTTGGGAGAACTAACGGTTTGTTTCATCAAAATCGGTCAAAAGGTTCGACTTTAATTTCGGTCCTATTGAATGCAGGTTTGACTGTGACTCATTGATATTCATTTTGTTTATTTTTCTAGACATACGGAGTGACTACCACCAACATCTCACCAGGTGACTAATCTACGTCTCGTGTGCTCTTAATTTTGTAGCTTGAAAGTGCTGGGAAAATTGTAGAACATATATTAATTCACTGCTGAACTGAGCACATGCTGACATGTCCAGTCAGACTTGACATGGGTTTGACAACCATATGTATTTTATAGAATATCTTTTCAATGTCTACTCTTGAAGTGAACTGGAACATTTCTTAATTTTATTAATAGGTATAGTCCTACTGTGTAGAATATTGCTTTACTAAATAGTTATCTAACTGTTCAACAGCGATGCTAAAGCAATCCTATCATGTCCTTGTTATGACTCTTTCTAGACTTTCAATGCGTTAACCCTCAAACACGGCAAGATACCTGCAAAGCAATTTATCAGCGTTTTGTCAGCAGTGCTAAATTTGCCCCAGGAATACCACTGCCCCAATCACGAGTACACATATAGCTCGGAAACGAAACAAAATTATCAACTTGTGCGTAAGTTGCCACTGCAATAAGTCCACCATAACTACCATGTTGATGGCTGTCAAAAAGTGCTATTTTGTTTTGTTCATTGCTAAAGCAAAGCAACATGGACTTGTCGGGAGGAGTTATTAGTATTGCACATAGATTTTCTTCACTTCTGCATATGTGATTGAGCTCATTTGTGAGAGAGGCTGGAGAAACAATCCCAATGTCCTGTGAAATTGTTAGTCCAAAGTTATCTTGTCTTGTCTGCAGGGCCTCCCTGGCATCCAGATTAGGCTGATGAGAAGGCATGGCCAAGGAGTTGTAATGGATATTTCCGTCCCTCATGGTGTTGGCAAATGATGCAATGGTCTTCATAATTCCTTGAGGACAGGGCATTGGGAGTCCACCATGGAGAAATTTCATAGCCCCAATGGCTGCAATGACAGTACATGCATTGCTCCCAATTGGAAAACCAAAAATTGTTGCTTGGGAAAGATGATAAGGTAAGATGTATTCAGCAATGTGTCCATAATGAAGTGTTGGTTGCAAAGCGGTTGAATGTTTTTGAGTCGATGTACATGTATCATGGGTCGCACACACACCATTACTGCATCTGGGGCATCTGACTGCACTATTCTTTGGATATGTGTGTCCCTTTCTTGAGTGACCACATCGTTTGCATAGTTGTTGTCTCTTGGGTGCTGTGCTTGCTGAGGCAGGTGGCTGGATGTGCGATGGATGAACTTGACTTGGTTGGCTTGGTGAGCTTGATACTTGGTTTAATGGTGGGGATAGTGGTGTTGGTAGTGCCATTATGTCTTTATTCACATGTTTTATTTTTTCATCCACATCTCCACTGGGCAATGCAGTGCCTAAGTCACCTTCTAGTTCACTGTCATCTGCTGGTAGGTTCTTGGATTGTTCATTTACACTTTCTTTTTCTTTAGGGTTTAGAATAGCTTCCTTGGCAGTTTTCGAAAGACTCTGCTTCTTTTGCAAGGAAGGTTTGACAGAGGGGACAAAACTGTATTTCGCCAAGGCAGGAATGATGGAAAGAATGTGAACAGCCCTCAAATATTTTCCAAGACAGATCTTCATTTCTGTTGCACGCTGGTAAATCACATCGTCTGCTTTGGTCTGGAATGGTGTTAGTGCAGTATCCCAGAGGTAAGACTTTAATCTTGACAGGCTCATCTCCAAATATCTTGGGCAACAACACTTTTGTAGTTTTGCCTTGAGTAGAGATTTTTGCTTTCCCTGGGTTCTTGGCTATTCCTGTAAATATGTTTGCAAGAATGTTTGCACATTTGGCCTTCAGACTTTTGAGGTTATTAAGTAACCACTGCGCTTTCTTGGGTTGGGTGAAGTGTTCTTTGAAGTGCTGCTGTTCCATTTTTGACTGAAACACAACTTTCGCTTTCTTCTGTATTTGTTCAGCTGTGTCATGGGTGTTGGTTTTAGAACGTATGATACTAGGAGTGTTTTCTACTGGATACTCATCAAAGATAACCAAATTTGTCAGAAGCAGTTTATATAAGGCAGGATGGTGCGTGCCCCAGTAAGAGCACATAGAAAGCCAAACCAGTGGGGCCTTATTGTAATGATGTCTCTCAAGACAAACAAACATCATCTATATTCTGATCATTGCATTCAGATACTCTTGAAAGTTATTTAGTTTGTAAGTAACACTGTAAATGGAAAGCACAAGTGGTAGATAATTGTCGATCAAATTCAAGAGTTCTGTATTCCAAGTCCTTGCAAAAACAAAATTTGCTCTTAACACTGTCCCTGATAAAAAGCCATCCACAGTACACCACTTCAAGTATCAGACTGATTCTCCAGGGCTTAGGATTCTTTGCCAATTTGCTTTTTGGAAAGAGATTATTATAGACAGTCTCAAAAAATTGCCGATAATCATGAAACACAGTTTCCCTTCCATTTAAGGAGATGTGAAGGGGTCCAGTACACGGAATTATGGAAAGAATTCCTGGTTGCCCAGATGTACTAACCTTCATTTGTTGTTGTATAGGTCCAGAAGAGCAGACTCTTGCATATGAATGATCTGCAGGGCACACTTGAGGATTACCATAGACATCAGATGGGCAGCAAAACTTCTGAAGGGTTTCGTAAATGACTTGTCTGGAGTAGAACTGAGCAGGCCAGTCACCAGGTTGAGGAATAAGAAATAACTTGAGATATTCAGAAAGTTTGGTACTCAGTACAAGGTCAAATGCAGCATCAAAGTCATTTTTGCTTTTAAGTGTTAATCGGAAAAAGTTAACAAGGTGTACATTGTCCATTTGTCTCACAGTCTGAACAGACTCATGGTGGCAGTATTCATGAGCAGTTACCCTGTGTCTTTCAAATTCGGGATTGAAAAAGGTGTCAGTTATCCAAGGAGGCATCAGGGATGAATATGTTAGAGTTAATTGATACATAGTAGATGGCCCGGAGACTGTGTTTATACAGGAAGTAACATTGAGACCAGAAGGATTGTGATAAGTTGAGACATGACAGGCAGTTATGGCTGGAACATTTTTGAAAACTTTGATGATGATAGTACAGAAGAAATCGGCGTTAGTGAGTTCTTCGTCTTGTGGTCGTCTTATTGAGTGAATGGTTGTGTAGTCATCTACAATTAATACCAGTTGCTTCTTGTTTGTAATAGCTTCTGCCACCACGTCGTCAATTTTTTTGCCTGCATTCTGGCTCATTGTGTTCATAAGGCTGCACACTTTACTCCTACTACAAGCTCCTCCCATTACTTGCTCTGTCTGCAGACCTTCCATGTTAATATTGGACAGCCTCAAATACATAGAATGGTCAGTCTGCAGCCAGTTACACACTTGGCTGAGGCCATAACATAGCTTGTACAGGATTGTGACAGTCCTTTTTCGATTTAAGGCAATTCGCTCTGTTGAATGTCTCTCATCGGTCATTGCTGACAAAATAGAATTAAATATAGTATTGGCTCCAGCCTTAGTGCAGAGTGCTTCAAATTCATCTGGATCATATATCGGAGGCTTCTTATGGAACTCTTTGTACATAGTTTCTTTTAAACACTGTAACTCCTTTGAGAGGTCGCACCCTGCAAGTCATCCCGTGAATGTATGAGTAAATAAAAAGTGATTTTGTCCGTCTGCCTATCTAGTAATTTGTATTACAGTCTTTTAGGCTTTTTTTTTCTGACTGTCTATCTGTTTGCTGGCCTCTTACTCAGACGTTTTGCCTTCTGTGCATGTCTAGTCTACCTGTATATGTATATGTATATGTGTGTGTGTGTGTCTGTCTGTCTGGGAAAATGACAGAATGGGATTTTGCTTACTTTTTGAAAGCATTTTCATCCTTTCATCTACTTCATCAAACAAGTCCGGGGGGAATAGCAGCCGACCACATGGCCCTCTTAAAATCTGCCCAAAACGTGTGTTGTCCACTTGCCATGTAGACAACGATAATGTCTCCTCTGCTGTTTGAGTGCCTGCGTTGGATGCCGTTTCCATTCTCCTTTGTGATTGTATTTTTGACTTTTTTGGGCGCCCGGCTTTTGCGCACTTCGAACCCACTCGCTGAAATTTGCAATGATGTTTTTTTTAATATTTGTGTTCCTTTCCCATTTCAAAACAAAGGAAATTGAAAGTGTCTACTTACATCAACAAATGTTTCGGCACTTTGTTTAGACTTTGCTGATGTCAGCGCAATCCTACAAGCGCTACATACACACGCGCTGTTATCTAGGTCAAGTGGGGAGATGAAATTGGATAGTATCTCGTGGTAGGTTGAAGCCGGTCTACTTTGCTTTTGTTGAGACCATGTTCATGTTTTTTTACAAACCACACATTTTATTAAATTACGCGCACATTGGACAAGACCAACGAGCAAAATAATCGCCAAGATAACCTTAAGACGCGCCATTTTGATGAAGGCAGAACCTGTGGTGAGCCTCCATGCCAATCGTTTGTTCAGCGGTAGCGCATGCTCATGCCAAAAAGACCCCTGTTATGGCGACGTAGTTTACGCTCAAACTTGGGAAGTATTGACCTTGAAATACTATATCGAGCCACCTTAAACTGATCGCGGAGACACGCGTTAATATATAAGGCACAAAATGAAATGAAATCTATGGATTTTTTTAAACACTTTTTGGAAAAGTTTTCACGGAAAAATATATAAAATAATTCTACAGGAAATGAAGAATGGATTCAGTATGAGAAAGCAACAATTACAAGTCATTATGTACTAGGTACCACTTTAAAGATTTCATAAGCTCACTTGCAGACGATACAAATGCACCCCGAAGAAACGAACAATACTTTTATATTTCTTCAACTCTAAAAGATACAGAAATTTTGTCTAAGCTACTATTTTGAAGCGTCTGTTGAGTAACAGTTCCATGTTCCACAATCAATTTCTTAGTTATTCATATATATTTGGTGACACTAGTGATGCATTTAAAACAAAGAGTGGCCATTACTCCATAAATCTAACTGACGCTGTTTGTTCACTTTCAAAGCCTGTTAAAACATAAGACAGGAAGGTTGTTAGAGAGGTGCATATAATGCTGTAATACTACTGCTACAGGACCCAAAGGGGTTGAGATGCGATAACAAACATGACACAAATGGATGGGTGAATTTGCCTGTTATTTCAATAACGTTAAAATGTTTCTTTCGAGAGCCTTTTACTGTATCCAGATGAACCCTCTTTGTACGTTGTACATAGAACCTCACGGGAAGAATTAACAAGCAGATACAGATGCATTAAACAAGAACGTAGTTCAATACAGAGGAGAAGCTGTCTCAGTAAACATCCTTTGTGAATGAAATGTTTCACAAATTAGTATATCAACAATTGTAGTATCGACAAAGTTGTATCATTTAGGAATAAATGCAATTTTTTTCCAACAGAAGCCAGAATATATTTAAAAGGTGTATTGATAACGTTTCATTTCGTGCTATTTTGGGGTTGGGGAGTTAAGCTAGATTTTCTTTAAAACGTCTTAATGTTTTAGTTATTTGCATAATAAAATGTAAACAAACAGTGTATCATAAAAACAATCTGGAAAAAATCAGAATTCAAACCGATTGCTGTAACTCCTTTCCTTTGTATAACTAGATGATAGACTTTTCTTATTTTCAAAACACAATCTAATTGGCATCATTATAATAAATCAAAATTTATAGTTGAAGTGCGTGTATTTTATTTCTCAACGAGAATGGCCGACGAAGAAAGCTAAAATTACCGTAGAAGGCAATTTTTCACAGCCTTGATCAAAGCACCATTCATTCGTGGACGTGTTTTTAGTTTCATTAATCATTAACTTAATGTGAAGAGGAAGGCGAGATTTGGAGATAAACAAGCCAGCGAAAGGGTGAAAATGCTGTTTCACGGCAACGTGGACACTTAATTAACTACTGTTAGAGTTATACTGTTGACATGAATCAAATATCTATAGGGTAATTGTTAATAAGTAGTTTCTTAGAAATCGATTTTGAGATAAATATTGGCGATAAAAAGTCACGACGTTTCGACCTCTCCAAGGTCATTTTCAAGTGTATAAAAGTTCTCTAAATTAGCATAAATAAGTTAAAAACAAGTTATAATAGATAAAAATGTGGTGAACGCTAAAATGTGACAAAATATGTAAAAATGTAAAAAGTGCTAAAAATATTTATAAAGTCAAAAAAAACAATGGAAATAAAACAATGTTAACAAGAACTACTCTAAACAAATAATTTGGCGCGAATTGAATCGCACTGTTTGTTAAGCGTCGGTTTCAGTTCTTGGATAAAAAACATTTCAAAAATAAGGCAGTCAAATTTGTTCTGACACTTTCTTAAGATTCTAAAACTTTGTGCGATGTCTTCAGGCTCCATATCATGCTGCTCTCTGAGGTGGTTTCCGATTGCCGATCCTTTGTGTTCTTCAGTTCGTTGGTGTAGGTGTCAGCACGTGTAGCCGACATAGCCTGCATCACACAGGCTACACTGGAAAGAATACACCACGCATTGTTGACTCACAAGAGGCGGCTTGTCTTCCTTGACCTTAATTTCATCTTTGATCTTCCTACTTGTGTAAACTGGGCTGATGGCTGCGTTGATCTTCCTACTCAGGTCAGCCAGCTGTTTACGTACTACGTTTGGGTAATTGTTCAACGAAAAATTATCACACTCAACTTTTCCTGCTGCTCAAAACATGTGCGCGAGATGTTGGGCTGTAACAACATTCAGCCGCCATCTTGTCTTTGATGTACCGTTTTACGAAGGGAAAGACTGTCCTCTCAAGGGCGAAAGCGAGACTACAATGAACTCACTTTCACCGTAGAAATTCCTCGATACCGTAAAGAACACGTTTGTCGGACGTAGCTCCCAACATACGTCAAGCAGCTCCAGAAAACAGGCTGCAAATGCTGGTAGTAAACGTAAACGATTCGCAGAAAATGCCTCTGTGGCACGACTGTGGCACTTCAACAGACCATATTGATGCATGCGCATACAAAATGCCTTCCTGTTTGGTTTTGCAACGGCCACCTCATACATTAGGGAGCTTAAGCAACGACGATGACGACGTCAAAGAGAATGGGGAAAAAAAACCAATAAGTTCAGATTGGCAAAACAACAACCCTGTGGGTGGATCACGCTTTTTTGTACATTACTTTGCCGTCCCTTCACGACTACGACTTGAAAATGCCTAATTTCACGTTTTGTGGAGGACGAGAACACAAGACGACTTTATTTTTCTTTCCTGAACTTCGATAGTCTTTTGGAATTCACCTCCAGAAAATTGCCAACATTTGACGAATTGAACGATATCGAATAAGCGCGATAAAGTTTGAAGTAGCGCGAATTCACTTTTGAAGTGACGTTTTCGTCGCCGTTGACATCCTTGCTGCTTAAGCTCCCGATTGTCTCTACAACGGCCACCTCTGAGCAACGGCCACGTTCTTCTGTCCCCAAGGTGACCGTTAAGGAGAGGTTGAACTGTATAAGCTCCAAGGTTTGGATTTTTCTAAGCATTAAAGGCTTACCTGGCCCATATTTGAGACAAATGTTTGGAAAACGAGTGCCCACACTCCACTAGGGTAAGTGGGCACCGAACCAAGTCCATTGATAGGCTGCACTGTAGTCTTTCTCTTATCTTCTTTAACGTCTTGTGGCAAATAAAGAACACACAAAAAGATAAATTTATACAACTACAAACAGATAATTTCTAACCGCCCTTGTCTGTCAGTTTAACTACTTAAACTGAAATGAATGGCTAGAAATAGGTCCTAAGTACCTCTTCATGGTTTTCCCATTTACGCCTCTCTTCAGTTAAAAGCGAAAAGAAAATATAAGAACTGTTAATGTAACGGTCAAGAATCCAACTCCTTGCGCCCTCATTCGACGTCTCGGCCGTCTCGGCCGTCTCGGCCTTAATTCGAGAGTGCTTAAATAGAACTGGGATTTGTCCCAACGGCAAAATTATTTTCTAGTTTGAATATAAACTAAGCATTCTACCTGCAACTCTGAAGCGAACAGCTACAGTACAATGGGTGGGGTAGGCGCCACATATGATGGTCGGTAGGTTTGAAATGAATATTGGTTTTGATAAATCAAATTAGAGATAAAGTGAGATCCAAAACATTGCGTGAGGTTTCTGGTGAGACAATGCTATATATAGAGAATACTTCATGGAAAGTGCTGGCGTACGGTATTTACGCACGAGTTGTTGACGTATCAGAAATCGAACGAGTAAGCGCAGCGAACGAGTAAGATTTCTGATACAAAAACAACGAGTGCGTAAATACCGTACAAAGCACTTTCCATGTGGTATCGTGTTTATTATATACATACTGAGACATTCATCATTTTGGCAGCCTTTTCATTTTACATCTTTCAAAAATGCTAAAATTTGCCGCTACACACTTCGCGCAAAATGACAACGAAAACGAAGTATCAGCTTTTTTAATAGTAAAAACGTTTGTTAAAAACATAAATGACGGTGAGGATAAGAGGTAATCCAAGAACTGTAAGTAATCTTAACTGTTTGTTCTCAATGCACAATTGAAAATGAGTGAATTTAAGTAAAATGGCCGGTTTCAATATAAGCTTTTAAAGTTTAAATGAAAGAAGCCTGAAATTCATCCGATTGCTTCGAGTCGTTTTCTCCTCTCGTTACTGAGGGAGTAATAACGACTCGAAGTAATCGGATGAAATTCAGGCTAAAATGAAGGGCAAAGTAGCTCCGACAAAAAGCACAACAAAAGCTTACGTCTCGTTCTGCTTATTCCTTTCCGCTGTTGTTTCGCCGGCTCTCTACCGTTTTCTTTATCGACAGTGAAACAAACGAAACTATTCCACTCCAT